GTCAGCCAAAGCCAAGTGGGGACTCACCAAAGTCTTCCAGAGCCAGAAGAGCCCAATGCAGATTTGGCCCAGAGTATAGGGAGGCACTGGTGGGGGGTCCCTCCGACATCAGCTGCAGCAGGGCCCAGGATCCCCAGAGCCTTACCCCAGTCAGCAAGCGCAGACCGGAGCCCAGGACCGGAGCCCTCAACACTGCAGGAGCGGACACCTGTCACCTGGCTCCCCCGGGTCGGCATGAGCCCAGCATGAGCCCAGCATGAGCCCAGCAAGCCACCGCCTGCCCGGGTGTGGAGAGTGATGGCTTTTGGCCAAAAACGCGAAAAGGATCTTCGTTCAGCCCTGGCCCAGCGCCCCAGAAGTTGGAGAAGGTGAAGCTCCTATAACCCCGAAGGGAAAGCCCCAAGCAGCGGGTGTGGAAGGCCCGCCCCAAGAAGAGGTTCTCCCAGATGGTCCAGGACAAGCGCCTGCGCACATCCTGGCGGCGGAAGACGAGGGAACGGGCCGGCAGAGAGGAAGCTGGCCGAGGCCTGTGCCGGCACCTGAGGAGGAGAGGCGCGGGCGGGAGGAGCAGTGCAGAGCCGGGAACCTGAAACGCCGGCAGGAGAACAAGAACGAGTACAAGCAGAGAGAGTGCCAGTGACCCGGATCCAAGCTCTAGCTGAGGCCCGGCCCTGCTGCGAATCGCTCCAGAGGCGGCCAAGGTCTGAGCTCAGGACAGCCCGGCGGCCACCTGGAGCCGGCCACCGAGTCCAACGCAGCACCTCGGACCCGCACTCCCACTCTGGCTCCAAAACAGGGACCCCCTCTGGATGGGATGTGAGCCTTTGCGCGCTTTCAGGTGGGTCCTTGTGAGACAGGCTCAGAGGAGCCTGGGCCGGGCAGAGATTAGGGGCTCCTGGCGGAGAAAAGGTTCTGCTCCCTCCTCTCTCCTTCTCCCTCCTTCTCCCTACTTCTCCAAGTGCCTTCAAACCAAGGAGGGTCAATTCTGCTTCCTCAGGGAGCTGGTAACTGAAGGGTGACCCCCAAATGTATCTGTTCTATCTCAAGGTCCTGGGTCCATCCCAGACCAGGAGGAATCCAGCTCCCCATACCCTCCTAAAGGCTGCACTGGGTACCTCTGACCCCACTGACTCCCACCGAATCCAGCTCCACCCACTTTTCAACACTGAAAGGTGAAAATGTGGGGGCTCCTCTCTAGCCCCCTCTTTCCTGTACCAGATTCCGCAGAAGCCCCAAAGATCTGATAGTCCCTGCCTTGGGGAGCTTTCATTCTGATGGAGAAAACATAATAAACAAGTAAAATAAAGTTAGAAAAAGAAGCCTTGCCATTTGTGACAACCTAGATGGACCTAGAGGGTATTATGCTAAGTGAAATAAGTCAGACAAAGATGAATACCATATGATCTCACTTATATGTGGAATCTAAAAAAAACAAATGAATAAATACAAAGAACAAGCTGATGGTTGACAAAGGGGGGAGGTGGAAAATTTAAAGAAAAGGAACAAAGGAAAAAGTCTTCAAAATTCAAGAATTTTGTACAAGACTCAGCCAACCCACCCCCTACTTTGTGGAATAGTCAGCTCTTAGTTATGCACATGTAAATTGTGGGCTATAGAAACATTTTAATTCTACATTTGCCAATAACAAAGACTAAGGCCACTTCTGTGTCACCTCAACTTTTTAGCAGGAAACACAAACTCAAAAGGAAGAACCACCCTGACTGGTTTGGCTCAGCGGATAGAGTGTCGGCCTGCGGACTGAAGGGTCCGGGTTCAATTCCGGTCAAGGGCATGTACCTTGGTTGCAGGCACATCCCCAGTAGGGAGTGTGCAGGAGGCAGCTGATTGATGTCTCTCCATCGATGTTTCTAACACTCTATCCCTCTCCCTTCCTCTCTGTAAAAAAAATAAAAATAAAAATATATTTCTTTAAAAAAAAAGGAAGAACCCCGGTTCATGCAATAAATGATATCAATATTTAAAGTGAAATTGCCAAATTATGCAATTATCCATTAGCACTTACCAGCTTGAATATATCTTCAAGAAAAACAATTGCATATAACTGGCATTCCTTCTTGACTTAGGTGTCTCAATAATAAAACTTGTTCAATCCATATTTCGAAGCACCGACCAAGTGCCAGCATTGTTCCAGGACCGTACAATATAAGGATGAATAAAACTGAAACAGTCCCTGTCAACCTCACTTTAATCCACAGAGTAAAGGAAGATCATGAACAGATCAACAAACAAATGAAAATGTAATGTGCAAATGTGGCTGAATGCTGGGAAGGCCATAATCAGTGATGAAATAAAGAGAAATGGAGGGAGAGACACTAATATCTATTTCCTGTCATTGAGAGGCAGTGCTGTGTCCATGTGCGACTCGGGACGTACCTGGCGTGGGACAAATACTCAACCATCCCACGTGCAGGATGAGTATCTTGTCACCACATCTTGACAAGCTGATAGGAAAGCATGGAAGAGCCCTCCATGAAGTCACTAGCAGGAAGTTTAAACCAATGCAAGAACCCAGAATAGAATGGTGAATTGACCAGAAAGATATTATAAATGTACTAGAGGCCTGGTGCATAAATTCGTTCATGGGTGGGGTCTGGCCGGTCTGCCCCCATGGGTGGGAGGGGGGGCAATCAGGGGCAGGGCTGGCCAGGGGGAGGGGCCACAGGCAGTTGGCTGGCCAGCCCCGCCCCTGGTCGAACTCCCAGTCAAGGGGACAATTTGCATATTAGCCTTTTACTATACAGGATATTCATTTAATGACCAAAACTCAAAATATACAAAGCAAAAACTACAAAATTCTACCTGCATCTATCTCCAACTGTGCTCAAGACCTGAGAACACATGTCAAGTACCTGGCATACAGCGGGCACTCACAGAATGACTCAAATGGCTGAACGAAGGTGGGGTGGGAACAAAAGCAGTCTCCATTCTCTTGAGTGGCCACCACTCAAGACCTGGTGGCCACCACCAGACCCTATGCCAAAGGCTGCTCACACATCAGATCCATTTCTCACAACTCTATGAGGCATAAGAGTAAAGTGAGGTCCAAAGATATTAGTCATTTGCCAAGGTCAAAGACTTAGGAAAACCCCCTGGCAATGAGCAAGGAGACACCTGATTGGTGGTGTTGCTCTTATATCAACCAGGGGCAAAGCAGATGTACAGTCCGTAGTTCATCCTAGCTTGATGCCTGTGGTGGCGGCCAGAGCTGTTTCATGCCTGAGGCACATTAAAAAAAAAAAATTAGGAAAGGCACACAATCTCATCCAAGCCCCCTCCATGCCTCCCTCGGAGCTGCACCGGCTTCCCACGAGGCCAGCCGTGAAAAGCAGGACAAGAAAAAGACCATTCTGTCAACTCCCTGTGTAACAGATTAAATTCCTTAATTAGCCTTACATGTTCCTTGACAGTTTCCCCAGTTAACAAAGCACACACATGCTGTTTCTAGAAGATTCTGGGTCATGCTGATTTCACTGGAAAACTGGGAGGAGTTTCACAGGCAAGCAGACTCTAGTGGCTCCTTACACTGGGAAGAGGTTGCCCAGATGAGCAAAGAAAACTGGAGCAGAGGAGACAACACATATGACAGCAAGGCAGAATGAGAGAGCTCTCCCCCTCAAAAAACAAAAAAACAAAAAACAAAGACATATACAATGATGTAGCTACAAGGATGGAGCTAGACTGGGAGATCCATGAGGGCTGGAGTCTGTTTTATTCACTTGTTCTACCAGGCTACCAGAGACAGGAGTGTTTGAAACATAATACAGTATAAATAAGTATTTGAAGAATACATCAAGGCATTGAAAAATGAAAAGAAATTAAATATGCAACATCCAAATAATAGAAACATAAGCATTGTTCCATTAATGGAGGCCTACTATTGCAATTGTTAAAAAAAAAATTATGTAGAATAGCAGACAAGAGGTACTGTCCATTATGAAACATGATGGAAAAGGGGACCTAAAGAAATGGGAGATGTTCACAATATAAAGTGAAATGGTAGACTACGAAACATCATAGACAGTAGTATGTTTTTTCTATCCCTGGATGTATGCCTTGTCGTTCCTACACTAGCATATAATATGTATAGATAAAAAAATCTACAAGGTTGAAGAGAAAAATGTCAAGTCATAGTTATCTTGAGATGATTTTCCCCCTTTTCTTTAACTTTTATTTTTCAATTACAGTTTACATTCACTATTATTTTATATTGATCTCAGGTGTACAACATAGTGGTTAGACTGTCATATACTTTACAAAGTGATCCCCCAGATAAGTCTCATACCACCTGGCTCCCTGCATAGTATCACGATATTATTGATTATATTCCCTATGCTGTGCTTGACATCCCTGTGACTATTTTTAACTACCAACTTGTACTTCTCAATCGCTTCACCTTTTACACCAGCTCCGAGACCCCATCCCCACCCCTGTGGCCTCCACCAGTCTGTTCTCTTTTACATTATGAGATGAATTTTTTAATGTTCTTCTTACTCTTTTATGTATATAAGTTTCAGGAGCATGATATTACAATTCAACAACCTACTAGTTTGTGTGTGTGTGTTTTGTTTTGTTTTTTTAGAAAGGAAACATTGATGTGAGAGAGATACATCAACCGGTTTCCTCCTGCATGCACCCAGACCAGGGATGGAACCCACAACCCTTCAATGCATGGGACGAAGTTCCAAGCCACACTGGCCAGGGTATATCAGTACTTTTTAAAAACTGCCTTTTTCCCTATCTTACATGTGTTCATAAAACATCCTACAATAGGAATTTATTGGTTAACGTAAGTTCCAACTCCGTGACATCGGGTAGTTGTGCTGTCAACCTCCCTTCCTGTGGGAAGGAGACTCTGCAGCGGCCCGCCAGGCTTCTGACCCTTCACCCCGTGACAGAGAGCTAGCAGTTACTTGAGAACAGCGCTTCTCAACTGGGGTGGGGTGAGGAGTGCAGGAATTTGTCCCCCAGGAAACATCTGGCAAAGTCTGAAGACACTGTTTGTTGTCCCAACAAGGTGGGGCGCTAGTGGAATCTATTGAGTAGAGGTTAGGGAGGCTGCTGAACACCCTACAATGCACAGGCCAGCACCCACAACACAGAATTACCTGGCCCCAAAACATCAATCGTCCTGAGGTTGAGAAACGCTGCTTTAGAGTATTATGGATGAAAATCATCATGTGAGGAGCCACACAGCTTATCCTAAATATAAATCGGAGAAGAGAAGAAGTAGCAGCACTTACAATGTTTTGTTACCAAGCACGGAGATGGGAAACATCTGTTCTGCTGAGGATCCCTAATCCCAGCACTGCCCAGGCTCAGAGCAGGAGTTAGTACGTGTCCTGTCCATGAGGCAACACAGAGCTCACCCAGGGAGGAAACGCCAGCTGCAGAGTCAGGCACGGATAGTCGTGAAGATCAGCCCTGCCAATGGCTAACTCTTGGCACCTGCACAATGAAGTTTATAGTGCTATTTATTTAATGATCCTATGACTTACACAGGAACGTATATGAAGCTTTTAACACTGTCCCAGACACACACGAGGTGACCTGCTGAGTACAATGTAAACAC